GAAGAAGAAGAAGAAGAAGAAGAAGAAGAAGAAGAAGAAGAGGAGGAGGAGGAGGAGGAGGAGGAGACACCATTACCCTATGAGCACTTTACCTAGATAGGCAGTAAAATTTCACGTCCATTTGAGCTGTCGGTGCAAAGTTATGCAGGTGACCCTTAACGGACTCTTTAGATTGGGCGTATTGTACCCGAGCTGTGACGCCTCATCGTCCACTTTGTCGATCGATGCATGCTTACCCTCGTACGATGCTGCCTATGATGGATGCTCCCCGGGGGCACCCCTACCACCATCCAATACTCTAGTTGGCCCTCAGACATGGAAGTCACTAAGATCTAGCCCCCACTCTACCACCGAGGATCAAGGGTCGCCACGCATTGAGGTACCACCCCATGGCCATCGGCCTCTGGAATGCTCCTTGTTGTTGGTCAGAGGAGGGGGAACTTTACTCAAAGGGTACTTGTTCTGGTGCCGGCCTAAGCTGTTGTGATGTGTGTCATGGTTATACCAACGACTATCATACTTCTCATCACCTGTCGAGTAGTATCACCAACAACATGATCGGTGGAGGAGGTGCCTATATGGTACCACATGGATGGGTACATCATCAATCCTTAAGCGTATTGATGTGATGTCACCTCGCACCGTTGCTGTTGCCACATACACCAGGCAGTGCCCGATGGCAGGAATCGCTAATACAGGTATCGCGTTCATAGAGACGCGACTGCCACCTTCATGTCTCCCTCCTGAGACGGCAGATCATCGTTGCAATAGTTCATCATGTTGTCTCGTCCCTTTTCATTCGACTTTCCCTCCTGAGCTTGTCGGTAATAGAGATCCCATTACCGTATGGTAGGTATTATCGGAGGTTTTGTTAGGGTTACCCTCATGTTCAATCTTTGACCCTACCAGTAGCATGTGGTGTACACATCAATAACAGCATGGGGTCATCTAGGGCACATAGACGTCATCTCGATGAGATGTTAGCTGCCAAGAAGGTGACGTTGAGCTCATCCGCTTATCATGTTCGATCGCTAGAGGTGGCTGTTGTTGTTGATGATGAACCACAAACTTGCGTAACATCCAGCGTGGATATCAATCATCATCTGATTGATGATGAGGATGTGAGATCTGGTCATCACTCCACCACTACCGAGAGGAAGTACCAGGGAGCCTCTCATTCCGTGACGGAATTGGAGACTGCTACAGCGACGAAGACGACAAGTTCCACAGGGGTACATTATTGACTGCTGTTGTCGTTATTATAACGTTAGGCATGGGATGATACATGTTGCATATCTGAAATGAGCCCCATATACTGCTTCCTCCATCATGGTCATAGTCCACATGAATCCTAGCCCTTGTGTTACATATGGTGGTATCGTTCTTGTGATGTAGCAGCGGCAGTAGTAGTACTATCAGCTATGGGTTGTACCTCTTCTACTCCCGATATCATACTTCCTGATCCCGAACTAGGGAAGGAGCACTCATTCAAGGTCATTTGACTACCATCATTATCGTTGCTATAGCATCATCATTGTTAGATAAAGAAGGCGGGCATGCTCTCTAAGGGATATAATGTATATAATATGGATAAGCAGTTATGGCTCTACATCAGGTAGTCGACTATCATTGTGGCAGTAGGCTTCGATAGGCCCAGTTAGGTCATTAAGTAGCTTCTGGGATTCTGATCCGGACTTCACACTAGAGAACTTCGTACGAGAGGATGATAAAACCGGACAGGTTCTCGCATTGCCTTGGCATTCCGGTGGCCTTGCTGCTTGTCGTCGTCTACAGGTCCTCGGCCGATGTGCTGTTGGTAAGCTAGATGAGGACTATAAGAAGGAGGTCGATTGGGAGACTGACTCGGATGATAGGTGAGTGGACCTTGACAGTGAGCCTTGAGGTTCAATGAGGGTTCTCAGTGACTTCTCACTGGACGATCTCTTTGACTTTGACGACGATGATGAATTGAAAGTGAAGTTGAAGTTCAAAGCTAAGAGGGAGGCTAGTTTCAAGAATGCACAAGGAGAAGAGTTCGCACATCTGAAAGTGAAGGTAGCCAGTACTCATGATGACGGTTTGTTGTTAACCATTGAGGCAGGTGAAAGGTAAGGCCAAAGTGGAGGTGGAAATCGATGAGGATCATGAAGGGAATAAAACCGAACGTTGGAGTGCCAAGTCCGCCGTCAAGAAAGTTTACTACACGCTTGTATGTCGATGTTCACGACTGGGTCTTAGAGCAGTGCTATCATCCTGTGTTGCTGCTTTCAGACTATCAATGGTGTAGAGGTCCCTGTCGAAGTGGATAATCATAAGTGGCAGAATTGGGATCGAGAATGGGACATCCCTGGGATGTTCAAGGCCACCTATGATGCCAAATTTGGCACTGATGAAGTTTTCGTCGATACCAAATGCCTAGAAGCTCCACCAGCTGATGTGAGTGACCTCTCCAAGAGATGTATGAATGTCGATGACTGCATCATTGTCAGTTGTTGATGATCGGCTTCGCTATGGCCTATTTCATGCATCCCTCGAGCTATCTGTCTAGGGCGGAGAATGCGGCCAAGTCCCATGCCAGGAATGTGTTGAGGAGGCATTCTTAACTTCAATTTGCTCCCCTTTTCCCATACTTGTGAACTTTATCATGATCTTTGTGGAATTGTTGTGAACCCTCGTTGCTGGTCGTCGAGTTATGGAGTGGCGAATACCTCTCGATGTCGCGTACATTCCCTTCATGGTGAATCCGCAACAGGATGGGTATACTTCTCATTCGATGCTAGGGAGCATTCTGCT